GGACAGCAACTTGTCTGTTCCCCTTCCCCCAATTCCCCAGCGCTGTTCCCATCCCCCGAATTCCCCAATAAAAAAATAATAAAATTAAATTAATAAAAAAAAAGAAAAAAGACATAGTCCTGGACCCCATCTCACACCTACTGTGTCGGAATATCCCAGGGTGGGAGCAAAGCACCATCCTTTCCCAAAGCCCACCGGGAGATACTAATGCACGGCCCCGGCTAAGGAAGCGAGCCGCGTGGAGCTGAAATCCAGGGCTCTGCAAACACAGACTCCGGGTGTGAAGCCCAGCTCTGCTGCCAGGCTGCCTGGCAGGGGGCAAGTCACTGGCTTCCCTGGGCCTCTACACCATAGGCCTGACAGGGGTAATAGTGTTAACTCACCGGGTTGTGGTTTTAAGGGGGTTCATATAAGAAAAGTGCCTGGCACAGGGTAAGTGTTCAAGAAATGTTAACTGTTATTGTGTCTCTCTGGCACACAGTAACCCTGAATGAGAGTTATGATTATTGATTATAGTTGACAAGGAGGGCTCTGAGACTCAGAGAGAGGGGGCGCCGTGGTCAGCCTGGCCTCAGAGCCCATGACTGGTCCAGTTACCTCGTTGTGTCTTCATATGTTTGTGGTGGGCAAGTCACGTTAGGATTGACTTTCTTTTGGGTGGGTCACTTGGCACTGGATGTCAAGTTCCACGTAAGTAGGACCCATTGTCTGGGCATCTTTGTATCCCCAACACCTAGCACAATCAATGCCATCTAGTAGGCTCTAATAAACAGTGGCTGAAATATGAATTAATAAAGAAATGAAGGGAAGGAGGGCGGGAGAGAATCAGTCACACAGCCGTGGTCTGAGTCCTTGAACTGCGCCTGGAATTGTGCCATGTGTCACCTTTGGAGAAAGTCCTCACAAACGTTGTCTCCTTCACGCCCCATGGAATCCTGAGATAAGGGTATCGTTCTCCCTACGTTAAAGAAAATGGAGGCAGAGAATAGTTATGGTTCACGGATCACTTGAGTTCTTTTATTCTCTGTATTTTATATATTCTATTCCATGTGTATTTTTTTTATTGAGGTATAATTGACATATAACATTATACCAGTTTCAGGAGTACAACATAATGACTTGACATTTCTGTACATTGTGAAACAATCACCGCAATAAGCCTAGTTAATATCCATCACCACACATAGTAACAAAGTTTGCTTTTTCTTATGATGAGATCTACTCTCTTAGCAACTTTCAAATATGCAATACAGTACTAATAGCCATAGTCACCATGCTGTGCATTAGACCCCCCCCCCAAGGCTTATTTATTTTACAGCTGGAAGCTCATATTTATTGGCTCCTTGCACTCATTTTGCCCGTCCTCCACCCCCCGCCCCCCAACTCTGGCAACCACCAATCTGTGCTCTGTATCTATGAGCTTGGTTTTTTGCTTTTGTTTTTGTTTTAGATTCCACATATAAGTGAGATCGTATGGCATTTATCTTTGACTTATTTCACTTAGCATAATGCCCTCGAGGTCCATCCATGTTGTCACAAATGGCAAGATTTCCTTCTTTTTATGGCTGAATAATATTTCTGTGTGTGTGTGTGTGTGTGTGTGTGTGTGTGTGTGTGTGTGTGTGTGTGTAAATTTTCCTTATTCGCTCATCCATCGATGGACACTTAGGCTGTTTCCATATCTTGGCCATTATGATGCTGCAGTGAACATGGGGAGTGCAGACAACTTTTCAAGGTAGTGTTTTCGTTTTCTTTGGATTAAATGCCCAGGAGTGAAATTGCTGGGTCAGATGATAATTCTATGTTTAATTTTGATAGGCACCTCCATACTGTTTTCCATAGCGGCTGCACCAATGTAGCATTTCACCACCAGTGCATGACGGCTGCCTTTTTCCACATTCTCACCAACATTCATCTCTTGTCTTTTGGATAATAGCCATTCTAACGCGTTTTCTGTTTTCTATGTGTATTTTAATATAGTAAGCCCTTCCAAATCATCTATGAAAACAGGTAGTGTATAAATCCATCGACAAAGTTTTACTATTGATATTGAGTTCATCCAGATTCACCTCCTTGAGAGAAAGGCTGGCAGTCTGACATTCCTATTTGCTAATGCTCTCTAATGAATAGAAACGCAAATATTTGTGATGAGCCACGGGGGTCTATCTTTGGGAAGGCTTGAAAAATATATGTTTGTTTGGGTTGTTTTTGAAGCATATGTTTCAAATGGAGGAGGCACTGTGGGTGAGTTATGGGGATTCCACTCACGCAGGGGGGCCTGGAGGAGCACCTGGCCAAAGAAACAGCAGCAAAAACTAAATGTAATGAAGCGGAATCATACTCTGGTGGGAGGAAGTCATGTGACTGCAGCCCCTGCCGGCCGGGAGAGAGGCAGTGGCCTGCACCTGAACCCCGGGAAACAGGTCCCAGGGTACCGGCCGTAATCCTGCAGGGCATCACTTTGTGCCTTAGGGACCTGTGTGAGAGCTCGGCTGACAGTAAAGACTGAGGAGCAGGAGACAGGACAGCATCCCACTGTCAGAGCCGTGCTTCCCAACCTCCGGACCACCAGATGATATTTTTAAGTATTATTTTTGCTTTCTCTGCTATAGCTTTTCAGTTTATAGTTCTTTCTTTCATAGCATGCTGTTGCTCAAAAGCGCCTGTTTTTCTCTGTGAATTCACATGCCCTGGGGAGAGCAAGGTGTAAGGACGGAGGGCCTGGTGAGCGAGGGCGGCAGGGGCGGGCTGGGAGGGTAGGTGTTGCTCCGGGAGGCACGTGAGCTGTCTCCACTCTCCCTGTTCCCAGCGCCCTGCCGGGTGACCCCATTGCTCAGGGAACCACCCTGTCCACAGACAGAGGCACATCTCTCTTCCAAGTGCGTGGTTGTACCCGCTTTGCGGTGAGGACATAAGAGGACACACTCAGGAACCCTCAGGTCTAGAGCAGGCTCTGGAAGTTCAGATCGAACAAGTTCTCATAAAAAAGTTTCTCTTTAGAGACAGCTACTCCAGGTAGCAGGCGAGACTCAGCTGGAGGTGAGTGGAAGCGGGTAACATGGCAGTACCCTCTCCAGGTGTATCCTCCCTGGCCTGCCCACCTCTGCTGCTCCATGAGCTATTAATAAGTCCTCTTTGGCTGCATTTAAAAGCCCGCCATGAGCACACCTGTTCAGTTTGGACCAGACAGGTGAGGCCTGAGTACAGAGGAGCCAGCCAAAAGGAGGAGACCATTTTGTTCAGCCAGACTGGAAGCCTCCGCTTGAGCCGAGGCTGTCTTTCTCTTTCCGTCCTCTTCCTCCATGTCCCACCCCTTCTCCACAAATCTTTAGAAGAAAATCTATCCCAGCCCCTGAGAGATCAGGTTTCATTTTTTTATATAAAATTGGGTGGGGGGAGCATGTTGGGGGCAGGTTGTGCCTGAGTAACAACCATAGAACAGATTCTCAATACATCACAGGCTGACACATCCAGGACTCCACGATTGCTGGAAACTCAAGCCCAGTCATTAATCTGCCGATTCACTTCTAGCGAAAGCCCACCAGCTTGAATTTACTCATTTATTTCCATAGGCAAACTGTGTCCTTTCTCTCCCCGGGCAAGCTGGAGGATTTTATAATTACTGACTTCTGTCTTTTTTCCACATCCTATACTGGTTTCAAAGTTGGAGTCTGGTGATTAAAATACCCACCATGTCTATATTTCATCTTCAAAGACGTTTTAATTTACATGACTAATGCAAAGCAGCATGTGTCTTCATACACAATGCACCTGTTTATTCCGCTTTGGTAGCTTTCTTCAATACTTTCATAACCAGAGGAACTGCCAGGCTTAATTGTTATTGCTAAACTCTGAAAAGAATCACACTGGCTTTGGGCACTGCTTCCTCCTTTTTGGGGCCATACGTTTCAAAGAAACCCCCAAAGTACAGGTTGATTCCCTTTTTCTTACAGAATGGTGCGGTGGGCAGAGCCAGGGTTGGGAGTCAGACTGACCGGGGTTCACATTCCAGGGGTCCACTTACGAGGGTGTATCATGAGGCAAGCCATTTAAGCTCCTGAACCTCAGTTTTCTCATCTGCAAAATGGAGACAATAACACTTACTAAGGATTCGGTGTGATTGTTTGAAAGTGGCGACTGCCTGGCCCAGCACCAGCACCAGCTGGGGCCTTGTTAGATGCAGATCCTCAGGCCCCGCCCAGACCTACGGAGTCAGAAGCTCGGGGTGGGGGGTTTGGGGGGGGGCCAGCAGTGTGTTTTAACCAGTGATTCTGATGCCCACGCACTTAGGAAAGCCCTGGTCTAAAGCACATGGCATACAGTAAGTGCTCAATTGTTCATTTTCCCTCCTTTCTCTTTAACAATAATTCTTTGCATCTAATGAGTTGTGGGTGAAATGAGCTATGATTTCAGCCTACTTGCTGGAGTTCAGCTAACACAAGCTCTAGACCGCGATAGTCCTTCTGGGACGGATGCCCAGTCCCGAAACATCGTGTAATTCACCTCAAAGCGGTCATCTTCCAGGAAGTGCATGGACGAGAGGGTGGGTAGATAACACGGTGCATTATTGTATCTGGTTCCCTCATAGGAGGAGATCTGATGTACTGTTTTCATTCCAGTAAGAAACCAGGTACTTTCAAATTCCCAAACAGCCGGGCGGGCCCTGGTGGGGCTGGAGCCTTGACTAAATGCTGCCATCCTGTGGACAGAAGTGACAGAGTGCATGACCACCTGGCCACCCAACCAGTTCTGCTGGGCATCAATCACACTTACCAGGCCCCAAATGGGGTCCAGGTGGGTTCAAAGGTGTAGGTGAAGCCCTGGCCTGAGGAGCTTGTCCACAGACAGGTATGTGCCCACTAGGAGGTGGTCATTCTTGCGCGTCTGCAAAGATGATTTAAACACACAGTCTGCAGAACTATTAATAACGTCACAGAACAACAAATATACTGATTTTTTAATGAGAAACTGAAAATTAAGAGTGACAAAAAAAACCCGCTACTCAGAGGCTCAGTTTCTAATTATAGTCTCCTAATGGAGAAAATGTGGAACAAATTCATTTCTCCTGATACAACAGACGCTCTGGGAGCGCTCATTGATAAACCAGGGCTCTCATTTGTATCTGTTCATGCTTCATGATTTAAAATTCTGGGAGGATAGTTCATCTTAACACAAAATACCAT